CCAATTTGATTCTGTATAAATGAGATACAACAATATCAGCAGCTACAGCAGGCCTTGCACTGCAGCTAACTGATTAAATAAATAAATAAAATAGACCAGGTTTTGACAAAACCTGGACTTTTGGTTCTTCCTACCCACCTGCTATACTAACTTGTAGCCCCATCCAACATCCTTGCACCTAAAAAATTCTTGTTCCAGGAGGGGATGTAAAGGGAAAAAAAATGATCTTCTGACTCTGTTTTGAAGTGTAGAAAATGTACAGTTCTTTACACCAACAGATGTTCTTCATTGTAGGGAGATGTTGGATGTCTGATGTCAAGTCTTAACCAGCTTCTTCTCCATGCAACTAACCTTCTGAGTCCCCACTTGATGCAAGAAAATTACCTCTTGTATGTTTGCTTTTGGGAGCCTTAGCACTGGTGAACAAAGTACTGAGGCTACAGGAAATGAAATCATATAATCTGATTTCCAGCTTAGGTTGGGCCTTTTTTGTGCTTTGATGTAGATGAAAAGGCATCAGAAAAGTACAGCCGACCATGAAAATACCTGAAGCCCTGCTCCAGAAAGGATGCATGCAGAGACTAGATTCCACTGGTGCGACCAGGTGTTGTTAAACTTGGATTAAGGTCCAAAGATGGTTTCAATTTCAGAGGCCTCAACACTTGTGACACATGATCAGCCAAGACTGGCTTTCCATCATGAAGTTCCCTGAGGTCCCCAGGACCCAGGAGTTCAAACTGTGTTCCAAAACCACCATTATCTGATGAAATAACTTCCCGAAATACATGAGAGGCTTGTGAAATCCCTCGAAATAGGTCAGCCCTGGGTTCTTGATAAGGGGTGTTGACATTTCCATAGAATTTGTTTTGGGACCTTGGAGTTACTCCTATATTGTCATGCAGGTAGATTGGTTGTTGTGGGTGATGAAATGGGATGGCCCCACTTCCACCAGTAAGAGGTGTGGATGAACCTGAGGCAGTGTGAGGGCTTGATGTGGGAGATGGGGACATCCTTCCACTCATATGTTGCGGCGACCTTGGATGTGGTAGAGGACTGCCAGTGGGAGAAACTGGGCATGACACATTCCTCAGTGTATGTGTATCACTGTAAAGGAAGAAAGTGAGTGGAAAACATTTCTGATATTGCAACTATTTGTATTAAGAAGATAGCAAAATATTGTTTATCATTCCTAAATGTCTCATGAAACCCTGTATGTCTATGTAAGCAACAAGAGAGAGAGAGGTTTAGACCTGAATCCTGATCCAATTTTTCCTCTAGATGAAAGGTTAGTCACCACTTCCGAATCAAAGCATGAAGGATTTCTAGCATTTCCAATTCCCTGAAAGAAGATCAAACAGTGGAAAGAAGCAGTTAAGATAGAATCTAAAGGCATAAACCCCTAATTCGCCCTCAAATAGGAGGGTAGGGACAAATTCACCTCTAAAAAAAAAAGGTAGGGACAAATTTCCCCTTCAAATTATCGATCAAGACAAATCACTCATTATTTAACGTATGATGTCGTCACACGCCAGAAATCTGTTTGCCACCTAAGCATTTTTTAACAAAAAACTGACGTGTGATGAATCACAAGTTAAATAATAGGTGATTTGTCTTCATCAATAATTTGAAAGGGCAATTTCTCTCTGCCTTTTTTAAGAGGCAGATCTGTCCTTCCCTCTTATTTGAAGAGTGGATTTGGGAGTTTTGCTGAATCTAAAAGCCACAATAGATCAACAGTTTTAGTTGAGCAGGACTTAAGATGGAAGTAGCTACCACCACCCCTCCTCCCAACCAAAAAAACTTAGGCAGTGCAGTTGGAAAGCATGATTATACCAATGTTCTAATTGCATTTGTAGCTGGAGATGAATCTGAAGGGTCAGCACTGAAAATGGGTCTTTCCAATGGTGCAACAAAGGGATGCTTCAAAAGATCAGCCGCTGTAGGGCGATATAATGGGTTTCTCTGTAAACACTGCCTCACAAAGTCCTTCCCCTCATCTGTAAGATGGTCAGGAATTGCTGGAAGTTCTTTACTGTTTCCAATCTTGAACATAGCAGCAACCTTCATAAAGGCACTCAGAAAAGCATCAAAACCAAGAAAAAGAAAAAGAAAAGGAAAATAAAATTCACTCATAAGAAATGCAGCATTATCAGTGAAAAGCATGCTTTGCTGTATCAGACATGATATTATATAAAAAAATTTCATGGCTTTATGGTTCAAGTTATACTGACCCCTTCATACTGGCTCCAAGGTGGTTTTGTGGTAGCCATCTCTAGAACTGTGCATCCAAGGCTCCAAATATCAACAGCAAGACTGCAACCATTTGCATTCCTTATAACCTGAATTATCAATAGAATTAAATGACAATAGAGAATGAAGCAAAGGGAGGCTAACTGTGAAACCAAACTGACCTCAGGTGCCATCCAGTAAGGGCTTCCCTTGAATGAGAGGGGACAATACTGCCCAGTAATCTGCCCATCACATCAGATCATCAATATTAGAGTCAACAGTCAAATATTAATGTTCATGAAGTACTCTTACTAAGTAGCTTTGTCTATATTAATTTTTTGAACTAGCATATACCCCACAAAGTGGGATTTGTAAGAATTTAGCTACTCATCATGTGATAATATCTTACAGCCTGATCTCTTGTTCAGATAAAATGCTGAAACCCAGAGGCATTAAATCAGGAAATAAACATGAATGCTCTTACATGCTTTGCCATCCCAAAGTCAGCTAACTTTACACGCCCATTGGGGTCAACCAGTATGTTTGCTCCTTTGATGTCTCTGAAGAAGATTGAAACTCACACTTAAGAAGAAATAATGCTCCAGGATCATAAACATGAAGAAAAGTTTGTGATTATGATATCCCTTTGCAAACAAACCAGGTAAAAAAGTAAGTAAGCTGGCCCACCTATGAACAGTACTTTTAGCATGCAAATATGCAAGGCCCAACAAGATTTGTTGGGTATAATTACGAATGGCAACTTCACCAAACTGACCATACTCTTGAAGAAGTTTATAGATGGATCCTCCAGAAACATATTCCAAGTATATGTAAAGTTTATCATCTACCTGATCATGAAATAAAAAGCCAAAAAAACATATTAGTTTATGATGAAATTAACTTTGATATATAAGATTCATTTCAATAGTACTGCCAATAGTGGCAGGCTATCATTTGACAGTTTACTGTTTTGAGAATGACTAAATGAGATATTTATAGTCACAAGGACAAGAACTTACAGTTTCTGATCCATAATACTGCACTATATTTGGATGTCTTAAGCGACTTAACACTAAAATTTCCTGCCAAATGCCACCAAATAAGAAAAATTTTGCTCCCAGAGTTTTAAATAACAAAGAAATATCAAACTTAGAAAAATTTTGCCCCATTAAATGACCACAGAAAAGAGAAACTTACTTGCCCTAGCTGCTGTGCGCTTTCCCTTGATTTTGCATCATCTGGACACAAAGGCACCTCCTTCATTGCACACATCTCACCACTTTCACTAAAGCAGCAAAAAACAAAACAAGAGAAGAATAAAATCAAACACAAGAATGCAAAAGAACAATCATGATAAGAACTAGTTCACTTAATCTAAGAATATCAGCACAGCTATTATCAATTTTGAGAGAGGACATTCATATTCTAACTCAAAGAGAAAAAGGTGCCCAGATGCATTATACATGATACTTGAAAGTACAAAAAGTGAAATTCCATTTTGCTTTACAGTGGGGCTAGTTTCAATATAAAAGAAATATGGGTTGATCATACACCAGATTAGGTGGACAGACCTGTTAAAACCAAGATACACATGTCCAAATGTGCCCCTTCCTAGAAGTCTTCCCCTCTTCCAACGGGATCCTGGACTGAATGAGCTTTCTGCCTGACCAGGACTACGGGGTAATGATGGAGACGTTGCAGCTGAATAAGTTGGAGAAAAGGGACAAGTGTTAGATATTGTTATAGGGGGAAGAGGCAACCGGTGGCTTTGTTGTTTCCCCTCATCAGGACGGCTTGTAGGTGACTCAGTGGCAGCCCCACCAGCTCGTGGATGCTGAGGGGTGACAGCACCACTGTGTATTCTAGAGCTCGGGCCAGGGCTTGTCATTCTGGGGCTAGGCATTGGGGAACACTCAGGGCTGCATCTGCTGTGCGGCCAAAATAGCTGTCCTGACATATCTCCACCAACTGAATTATGCCCAGAATTATAACCTGAACCTGGACTAGAGCAGTGTCCAGACCCCAAAAAGGCAATATCCAAAGACGGCTTTGCTGAACATGGACCAGAGTTCCAAACTTGCTCTAGGCCATATACTCTCAATGGGCTTCTTGAAGGACTTGACAAGGAGCTGTCTGGAGCACTACAGAAAGCACCATGATTAGGAATTTGTACATTTTGCACACAACCGCTCAATGGTCTCCTCTTAGGTGATGTAGACAATATTTGATTGTTCAGTAAAAGTTCAGCAGGCTTCAATGCCTCTCTTGAGTTCTTTTGGGGAACAGTAGGTGACTGAACCTTATGCTTTAACCTTTAACAGAAAAAAAGAAGTGAAGAAAATTTGGTCAGGACGAAACAGAAGCAGAGAGAAAGAGAGTTTAGAGAAAGTTAGGATTTTATATCAGATGAATGAAAGCTCACCCTGAAGGACTGTTTGCAGCAGTTCTAATTCCATTTTCATAGTCAGAAGTCAGGGGGCTGACAAGATGTGAATCACTTGGGTCATAACTATCAATGGAGCTATTACTAGAAACTGAAGCAGTAGCTAAATCTCCCTCAGCATCAACAGGATCCAATTTGTTGGAGACACGTCCAGATTTTGGCATGGGCAAGACCACTGGTTGCTTGGAGTCTCCATCAAATCCTGGTATTGTTGATGCAGTAATTCCAGAATTACTACGCCCAATACTAGCAAGATGCACTCCAGGGACGGGAAGTGGATGGGCAAGAGGCCTTTCTGCAAAACTCTGACAGCGTGCTACATGAGTGGAAGGTGATGGTGATCTCGAAGGTAGTCGAGATTGAGATCCTCTTTCTGAAACAATATCACTATTATGTCCCCGAGAACATCCTAATCTTCTGTTAGACTTGTCATCAGATGAAATCCTGAATTTGCGGTGTATAACATCAAACAAACTTTCCTTGTTTGCTTTCTTCTTCTCTTCTTTGGATGAAGACTTCCCCCACCAGGGAGGCATATTTTTGGACAAGAGTCAAAAGGAATGACTGACTATATTCTGATGCTGAAACCCACTCCTTATTACAAGTCACTTATCATGCTTAGACCACCTGAACCACCACTGCAGCAGCTTGCATGCTATACTTTCCCACGACATATCACAAAGTAGGCAGAAAGAGAAGGTATAACTCTGTCTAGAAATGTCAATTAGAGCATCCCACAACCTCTAAAGATATTACCTAGTAACACCTGTATAGAGCTTCATCATAAGCTTATAATGGAGATTTACAAAAACAAATAAGTAAACAAGCATAGCATAGCATGCATGAATCTGGAAAATAAATGATCATATTCAAATAGGAAACGAAGCTAAAGATTTCAATTTTGGTCAGACTACAAAAGCCATGAATGGACCTTTAATTAGTATTTTCAATGGAAGGAAAAAGAAGAGGAATTGAAAGTAGAAACCTTGACATAAAATCTGCAAAATGATATAGCATTAATTTCTTGGTTTTCCCTTTAAAATTTAAAATAGCACTTACATAAAATGCAGTAACTTATGCTTTCTCCAAAATAATTGCCAGTTTAGTCAACATAATTAATTGTCAAACTATCTTCTAGTCCACATTCCATTTTACAGATAAAAAGAAAACTACAATATCACTGTCCTCACTGACACCGGAGCCCTTAATGGTAATGCTCATTTATCATTAAGGAAACAGATCCATGATCTAGTAACTCATTCTCACTTCTCAGCAGCACCATAAGTTCGATATCAAGAACTCCAAAACACTCTTCTAACGAGAACAACCCAGGTCTGGCAATAAAAGAAGAAATCCAACCAAAATTTAAATTATGTCTCCAAATTCACCAAAAACTGAAAACCCATAACTTCCCACCATTAAAATTACTCGGAATTGAAGACCCAAGGGATCAAATTACACTCTCTCAGCACAACAGCCAACACTTCACTAGCTCAAAACCCCAAGAAAACACCAAAATAAAACGAGGATAGCTCCAAAGTTTCAAAAATCCTCCCTTTTTTTAGCACAAAATCAACCTCAAAACAGCAAATAAAACCAACCCAAAAGGAAAAAAAAACAAACACCCAACTCATTACTTACAGTGAGAGTGTCTATAACCGGAAAAAGGAACGAGCTTCCCCGGAGACGACGTGGAGAAACTCAAAAGGCGTAGAAATGCCGAAAGTAGAAAAGAGAAAAAGGAAGCTCTTTAGAGAGAGGAAAAAGGAGGAGTTTTTAATTTTTATTTATTTTCTGTCCCATTTTTGCAGAAATAATTGTTGTTCTTTGTTTGTGTTTTAAAGGCCGAAATAAAAAAATATTTGTTGTCTTTT